TATGTATGTATGTATGTATGTATATACTCACGTGCGGAGGGTAATGCATCGTGCGTGCGGCTCGTGACGACTAACGGTCATACGACGTCGACGATGTCATTTATACTTTCTCTCCATAAACGCATTTTGCCATAATTCCATTGATACGAGACTGTTCCTCCATCGTCAATTATTTTCACAGCTTTCGCCATTTTGTACGAAATTTTATGTAATACATTATGTAATTTTTTATTAATTATGTTAATTACCATTTGCGAACTTTTATATTAAAAATGGCGTCCTCTCCCCCTCCCCCCATTAATGGGATAGATGTACATATACATACATACANTTCCATGAAACAGAAGAGACAATTTCCCTAGATTCTTGTTGGGACAATTTAACAGCCCTTCCTGGAGGCAGAAAATTTTCTCCAGTTTTCAAAATACTCCCAAATTCGAAATCGTCATCAGAGTTACTGTCAGACACGTCAAAATCGCTCATAGATTCTATCCTGTCGTCCTTGAAATCGAAACTCTCGTCACTCTTCAATTCTGTCCCACTCTCTTCTTCGTTACTCTTCACCTGATCAATCAATTTATCTTCATTAACTTTTTTTATCTCGAGCTTCTCTTCTTTCTTCGTCTCTTCTTTTTTAATTTCTTCTTTCTTCTTCTCTTCCTTCGATGGTTCTTTCATGTTTTTTACTGATTCGCTCATTATTTCATTTGGCCTTTTTCTTCTGTTTCTCAACCGTTGCTCCACTTGCCTATTCGACGTTTCTTCTTTCGTGTCGTTCAGATTGCTTGGGGCTTCGGTTAGATTTTGTTTCACGTTTTTCAAGACCTTCTGATTTCTCCTGCGAAGTGTCCGAGAAGCCGACGTCGTACTAATTGGAGTTGTGGTTTCAGATACGATTTTCTGCCTCCGTCGACTTCGACTGTCAGGTTTCACAGTGGGAGTGGCTGGTGTCGTTTTTATTGGAACCGTTTTCATTGGTCTTCGCCTTCTTCTGTTTTCAACTTGCGCAGCAGACTTTTTAGTAGAATTCAGCGTTTCTTCAGTGACTCTCGAATTATTTTTAAAGTCCATCTTCAGAGGCTCCATTTTATTCAAAGACACATTCGTCTTCTTCCCTTCAGAAGAAATGTCAGTTTTATTGAAAATCCCTTCAGAAGAATTTTCTTTCTCTGCTGTTTCCACACCTTCTAATGCTTTCTTGATGGATTTACTGATTTCTTCCACAGACTTCGACTTCTCTTCATTTTTCGGTACTTTAGTATTTTTAGAATTATACCTGCTGCTGTATTTTATCACCGGTCGAGTCTCACTCATGCTGTTCGTACTTTCAGGGATACTGTCTTCCAGAGGTCTAGTCCAGAATCGATATCTTCCCCTGGGAGTCCTTTCATTCATACTGAAAGCACCTTGGGAGTCTTCGTCGAATAATCTTTTATGCCTGCCTTCTCGTTTCTTCTTCTCTTCCCTCGCCAATCGTTCTCTTCTCTCCCAAGGGTACTCGTATTCAGTCGTAGACTTGCTGAACCTCTTGCGTTTTCTTTTTTGTTCATCTTTCTTGTCTCTGTACCAAGGAAACACGTAATCTTCTGTCTCTTCATCGCTCTCTTCACTTTCTGCCGAACTCTCTTTGGAATCAGACATTTTGTAGTTGGAGAACGAGAATGGGGGATGGAAGAAAGATGGTTTGTTCACTCGTGGCCCGAGATCTGAGTACTTCTCGTCCTCGTAATTCTCTGCTGGTGAAGAAGGTCTACTTTCGTACCTGAAGAATGTCTTCTCTTCAGATTCGCTTTCTTTCGACGGGGCGTTTTCCTCTGACGATTCTCTGCTCTTCTCTGAAGATCGTTCGTTCGAGAAATATGAAGGATAGAAGGTTTTCGAACTTTCTTCATTTGCTTTTTGATTTTCACTCGAATTTGAAGAGCCTTGATTTCCTTCAAGGTTATCGGAAGAGTTGCTTGGGAGGAATGACTGCCTGAAGTCGTCTGAGGATAATTCTGTGTATCCAGGTGGGTCGGATTCTAAAAATGTCTTCAAGTCGAAGAGATCGAAGGGGGGAGCTTTTGGTAATGGCTTTTCTGTAGCCACGTCGCCTTCATTCACGTTCTCGTGCACGGCGTAACCTTTCTTCGTTTCGTTCCCTTCTTTCGTCTCTTCTTTAGGAATTGATTTCTGGTATCTCTCAGATTTATTTGAACTCTTCAACTCTTCTTCAGGTTCTTCTTTATTATTCGAATCTTCTTCTTTTGTAGTTATCTTCTCTGTGACTCTGTCAGTGGAATTTAATGAACCTTGTGGAGTAGGAACAGTGTTTCTTCGGATGAAGTTGTACCTCGGTTCTCTTCTTCTGTTATCTTCTTCTATTCCTGTCTCCTTTTCAGGTTTCCCAACCTTCTTCGATTCTCTATCGTTCTTTCCTCTCGAATATCTAATCCTGTCTTTAATTGTGTAAACCTTCTCAGTCTTGTCCTTCTCTTCATCATTATTATTATTATTTAAATCAGAAATTGTTGTATTTTTTGGAATCTTAGACTTCCTATCTGTCCTCACAGTAGAGGTCGTCGAATTCTGAACTGGAATTTCGTCAATTTTAATTGTCAAATTATTTTTGTTAGGTGAATCCTCAGGATTTATTCTTGTGTCATTATTTCTTCCTGAATTGAACTGATCACTGCTATTCTTCAATTGCATGTCTGTTAAACTAGAATTCGATTTTCTCTGATTTTCTTCAGAATTAAAATAATCACTCTTATTCTTCAAGTCCCTAGAATTAAAAAACGGTTCCTTACTATCTCTTCTTTCTATTGATTCCATGGAATCTCTCAACATTTCTTCTTCATAACTGGAATTCAATTTGTCTTCCAGATCTCGTTTATAAATCCGAATTTTCCGACGAAACTTCATTGCCCTGACAGGTTTTGCCATCCATTGAATTCTAGTCTTCTGGGGAATTCGAATTCTTTTATAATTATTCCTGAATCTGTTATTCTTCTTAGGAGGCGTCAATCCTTTAATATTCACATCCCTACTCGAGTTTTCTACATCAGTCACCACATCTTCCCCTTTCTTTTCTGTACTATGATTCGATTTTGTAGACTCCTTTGATGAACTCTTCGTCTCTTCATCTTCATCATTGATAATAGTCACTTCCTCAGACGTTGGAACCGTCGTTAACTCTTCCACTTGATACGTATTCGCCATATTTTTAATAGTACCCATCACGTCCTCGTAAACTTGGTTTTGATAAGGAGTATAAAAAGAAGAGATTTCGCTGGCAGCCATGACAGGACGTTTCTCAAATTTCTGTGACTTCCTAGGAATCTTCAAATGCTTCACTCTCTGACCTTGCACCTTTCTGACTCTCGCCGTGGGCCTACGCGTTCTGTAACGAACACGTCTTCTCTTCTGAAGTCTAACGGAAGTTGGGTTATGTCTTCTGGGTTGTCGATGGTTTTCCGGTCTCTTTGAAGATCTCTGTATCACATAATCCTCGTTTTCTTTAGGAAACATCATGATTCTTGAAGCAAACTGCTTGCTGTCGATGTCTTCCGGAGGCGTCGGGTCTTCTATTTCTTCTTCTAAGAATAATGGATTGTCGAATGGGTCCTCGTCGAAGTATTTAGCCTTGAAGCAGTCGAGCTTGTCTCCTAAGCCACGAAGACGAGGCCCGTCTTCATTGGGCCCTCTTTCTGGGACTGGCTCTTCTTCTTCAGGAAGAACTTCCAATTTAGGCTCCACTTCTTCACAGCGTTTGTAAGAATCCCTCATGTTGTAAAATTCCATGGCACCGCGAGACTTTTTTGGGAGCCTCCTAGGATTAATGGCGTACTTCAGTGCTGACGGCGATGGCAGTTCTTCATTTTTGTAAAATGGGTATTTTTCCAAGTCCAAATTAGGTTTGGCAGGAATATTTTCTTCAGTCTCTTCTTCAGGCAATTCTTCGATGTAGTCGAATTCTGGGATGTCCACTTCCACAGTTTCTTCTTTATTCTCTCCTTTGCTGTTGTTAAAGCGATCATTTATTTCTTCTTCTATTATCTCTTCAGCTATCTTCGGTGCTGCGTTCAGTAATCCTTCGTGGCTTTTGAATCTATCTTCCCTGGTTGAATTTCTTCTCTCTTCTTCAGGCTCAGTTTTTGTATCTTCAATTATTTTAACGGGTTCTCTAATATCTCTTCTATTAATAATTCTTTTCTTCTCATCAAAACCGAACGAATCTTCACTCCCCTTAAATTGATTCCCTCCAACTTGCATTTCACCAACCTTTCCCCGTGTCTCGTCACAGCTGACTGGGCCTAAATCGATGCTTTCTCTTTCAAACCCACGCGACTCTTCGATCCGACTAGTCTTATTGTTAAATCTCGATTTCTTCGCGATCAGTTTTTCCGGTGAGTTATCCGGAACGGGCCCCACTTGCACGCGGCGTGTCACTTTCTGCGGGCAATTTCTCTCAGGATTTTTCCCATCACGTTCGCCTCGATTCGACGCGGCATTGTTTCCACGCAATCCTTTCACGCCGCCTCCGCTTTCGTCATCGGCCAATCGTTTCTCCCGAGTTTTTGCATTCACACCGAGAATTACTCTATCCCTCGACCTGTCCTTTCCACGATTTACATAATCGCTCGGTTCTTTGTACCAAATCATGTCGTTCCGTGGCGACAGTCTCGACTGAACCGAGTCCGCGTTTTTTTTACGGGGCCCTTTGGGACTCTTTCGGACTGGAATCGGCTCCCAACCAGACTGCGTGGCTTCTGGAAGATAATAGTAATAATAATCGTTCGAATTCTGAGCAGGAGGTCTCATTTTTGTTAATCCTTCCAGATTTTTATTAGCTATGAAGTTGCTTCGTTTCAAATGGCCATTCTGTTGGCCATTCTGTTGGCCATTCTGTTGGCCATTTTCATTTTTCAAGTATTTCAACACTTTCATATAATTTTCATTCAATGGAAATGATTCTGAATTACTTTTTTCATGTATAGGAGAAGAACGTGACTCTTGATTTGGGTTATTGTGATTTCGATTAGGTTTTGAAGTTTTGTGCCTAATTGCGATCTTGTAACGTGGCTTACGTTTTACCTGAACTGGATTGAAAAACGAATTGTCAAAGTTCTTATTGGAGTCCTCGTGACTGTCTAAATTTTTTTGCACATCAGAGAAGTAATTCTGTTGGTCATAGAATTCTGAAAAAGGAACCGTCGTCGCTTGGGTGTTAGAAATGATCGGCTGCCAGTCTTCTGTGTTTAATGATGTCGACTGACTTTCACCTGTTTTTAGATAGTTCTTAGGATCGATCAACGTTTGCCCCACGATTGGTTGTAGGTTCAAGGTGACAGGCTCTATAATTGGAAACGGTGTACTCTCTTCGTAAGAGTAAGTCACTAGATTTGCTTGTAAAACGTTTGGAGTTGTTCTACTTTGGTCCATCTTCTTCAGGTAGTCCCAAACAAGCTTGCCATAATTAACAGTCGTCGTTGGTTCATTAGAATGATCATTAATTTTATATAATCCTGAAGAGTCTTGCAAATTTATAGTGGTACTTTCTATATTTTCTTCAAGTGGAACAGCAGTCGAATTTTGAATATTCTGTGACGTTTCTATCTCTTCAGTATCAGAATTCAAATTATTGCTTACAGATTTTAATGAAGAAGGTCTTCTGTTTCTTCTTCGGTTTGATTCCATTTCTTTATTAGTAGTGGATTCGACTTTCTCTAACTTACTTATTTCAATCCCCTTCTCCATGTCTTCAGCCTCCCTCTCGACGTCTTCTTGCAGTCTGTCAATACTTTCTTCAACAACCAATTTAGGATTCACACTGTTTCTGTCAATATTCGATCCATTGTAATCAAAATCATTAAAATTCCTCACATCCCTTGTCTCTTCCTCTTCTTCTTCTTCATTTTTATCATCTCCAAGTTTCTGTTTTTCATTCAGATGTTCACGAAGTTTTTTATCATAATCTTCATGAAAGTCAGCATCTCTGATATGCCCAGCATGATCATAAGCAGAGTCCTCATACCCCTCTTCAGTATAAACTGTGTTGACCTTGGAATTCCTCACGACTTCCCTCAATCGAGCAGCATTCTCTTTCTCTTCTTCAGACTCTGCGTTCTCTATCGCCTTTCTTCGAGGTAATCTCCTCAGGGTGTGAGTCTTCCTCACCTGGGCGTAAACCTTCGTAGGTACGAAGTCTAAATTCACTTCTCTTCCTCTTGGAGGCTTCGCCCATTCCCCTGGAATGTATTTCGGCTTTGTGGGAACGTCTTCAGGGTTCTCGTGCTCTGAATAAGGAATCACGTGCGATGGCCCTTTAGGGTCTTCTTCTTCTTCTTCTTCTGAAGATATTTTCTTCTTGTTTGAAGGATCGAATCTATTGTAGACGACAGTCTCAGCTGATTGTTGGTCCTCTTGAATCTGGGAAACAGTCGAGTTCTCTTCTTCTTCAGGAAGAGTCGTTGACTCTGTTATTAACGATTGCAAATTAGAATCATTAGATTGTTTAACGTCATTTATTATTGTTAGATTGTTGGAATTATCAAATTGTTTAATCTCATTTGTTATCTGGCATGAAACGTTCACTGATTTCCCTTGGAGGATCGATATTAAGAAGATCACAAAAAGCACATTCATTGTGTTATTCTAATATTCACATTTTTAAAAACGATACAACAATTGTGNTATAACAATTGAAAATTTTGTATTGAATCACTTTTTGGAGTTGGATATGAACGATTTTCGATGAGTAGTTGGTGTGGGACTGGGAGAGACACGGTTGGCGTGGTTTAATTTATATTTTCTGGAAAGTTGGTAGTAGGGTTTTGTTCAGGGAAGCGTGTAGACCCGAGGCATTGAACGGTTCTGTCACTCTCGATTTGAGCTGCCATCGCGGGTCGTTTCACTCGGGTAGAAAACCTAGACCGCTTACGACGGACTAATTATCATTGCGCCGGCCTCTATGCCTTTTTGCCCTAGCCTACTTTCTTACGGATTCGCTAAATCATGATAACGTTTCTTGCCCTGTCCACCTTCGGGCTTATTGTTTCACACGATCCAAGCCTGTTTCACTTTTCCACAGACTTTCAAAGTCTGCATTCTCAAGTCAAGATTAAAAACAGCAGTGGAG